CAGAGTGCTAAGGGCTCAGTGGTAGGGGTGAGGGGTGAAATGGGACTGGGCCTGAGTGTAGATAAAAGGAAGTGGACTTAATTAAAGTTCCCATTCAAAAACATATAGGAATATTCATCCAGAAGAGGATTTGTGAGGTCAGGCACAGATGTTGGACAAGAGGGCCTGGCTCATGGCATGCTTTTGTTAACAGCCCCAGGCCTAGGTACAAAGCCCATTTCCCAGTTTTGTACACACCAGCCATCCTCATAGTAAGGAGCGCCCCCTGCTGGTCTAGTACCATTAACTCAGTTAGTACCCCTTTACTTAAGCTGACATGAAGTTTATTAAAAACCCAAACCAAGGGAAAGAATGCAAAAGAAGAATCACAGAAAAAGAAGTTACTTCATTGTTTTTTAAAACCCAATATGAGTATCAAAAAATGTATAGGGGTATTAATAAGTCTTTATTAAGATTTCCACCCCCTTGCACTTCACACTATTGTGCTTGGCCATGAAAACCCATTTCGTGAAGCTCCTAATATGCAGTTCTATCTAGTTCAGTCCAGAGGCAATTTAGAACTTGTTAGTGAGTGATTCAACAGAGGATAGACACTGTGCGCTGCAGTACTTCAGTGGCTGAGCTGTTTTTGCTCCTAGATGCTTCCATTTCACAATAATAGCACTTACAGTTGTCTGGGGCAGATCTAGCAGGGCAGAGATTTCACAAACTGACTTGTGGCAGAGGTGGCATCCTATAACAGTGCCATGTTTAAAGTCACTGAGCTCATCAGTACGACCCATTATACTGTCAGTGTTTGTCTATAGAGACTGCAAGGCTGTGTATTTCATTTTATCCACCTGTTAGCAACGGGTGTGGTTGAGACACCTGGACTCAATAATAAGGAGGGTTGTCCCAATACTTTGTCCATATCTTGTACATACACATACATAGTTCTTGTGAGGACAATGAGTGTACAAGTTAGGTGTATTTAATGAAGTAGCCAGTCAAAAAAATGCCTCAATGGTTACCATTAAAGACCACTACTTTCCTGGAGAACACATTTAGGTCTCATTATGAAACTATCAGATGCATCTGAAATAATGGTTTCTTTATTTTATGGTAATTTTTTAACAGGGTGCATTACTAGTATACTAGCTACCATACTAAATGGTATGCCAAAAACAGTACACCATCATTAGAAATGCATTCACTAGTAAAGCGTGTGTAGTACAGTAGTAATGTAGTTTTGGGCACTGCTGGCAGAATTGTTTTTTTTTAGCAATCATGTTTAACTTCAATCAATCAATCAATCAATCAATCAACCTTTATTTAAACTCGGAATACATTGAGGGAGACCCTCATTTACAATGTAGCTGAGTAATACAGGAATCAGAGATTAAGAAGCTGTACAGTAAAAAAATAAATCACATGCTATAATTAAATAATAAAAATCATGAAAGTAAAATTTAATAATAAGAGGGTACTAATAAACTGTTAAATCAATAAACATTTAAAATTACGATGTAACAACTTATCAAGTAACAGAGCAGATAAGGATAAAATAAATAAAACATAAATTAACGATTTGAAAGAAATAGATGTAAGACAATAAATAAAGAAACAAAAAGAATAAAAAGAATGATAAAAATAAAGAGATAAAAGTACAAGAATAAAAAAAGAAAAAATAATAAAAAGCTAAGGTAGCATGATTTCAGAGTAGTTACAGGTGCATATTTGTATAACACGTCACCTGAATCCAGAACAGGCGACAATGTTGCTTCAATTATCTTTTTCCTTGTGTGCTTTGGGAAACATACTTTGTTACGATACAGGGAGCCAAGTTCTTGTCTCAGTTTACAAGTACGTTAGGTAACGTGTTGTTTAAAAGTGCATTTGTCATCCAGCCATATGCCAAGGTATTTGTACTCACTGATTCTTTCAATGTCAGATCCCTTCAGGGTTGTGATTTTAAAAGTGCTAAAATTAATGTTAGAGGCTCTGGAAAACAGCATAAATTTAGTTTTCTCAACATTTAAAACTAGTTTATGGTTGTAAAAAGCTGACTCTAGGACATTAAAAGAATGCTGTAGTTTATCTACTGCAGTACCAATACAGTCAGTCGAGCAGAACAAGATAGTGTCATCAGCAGATAAGTCTACTTTGCAGTCAACAACTGAGGTGGCAATGTCATTTATATAAATATTAAATAATACTGGTCCAAGGATCGAACCTTGAGGGACCCCCTTTGTTATTGGAAGTAGCTCTGATTTATCCTGTCCTAGGGCCACATGTTGCTGTCTATTGGATAGTTTCTAATCCAGTTAGTAGCCCTGAGATCGAAACCAATGTTTTGTAGGCTTTTTAAAAGTAGGGAATGATCAACTCTATCAAAGGCTTTAGAGAGGTCAATGAAAATGGCTGCACAATGTTTCTTTTTATCATTGGCACTGAAATGATCTTCTAAGATGAGAGTAGCTGCAGAGATTGTGCTGTGTTTTTCTCTAAAACCAGATTGGTTGTCTGATAAGATTGAATTTCTATGCAGAAATTTCTTGACTTGCTCATCCATTAAGGTTTCTAAGATCTTGACTAAGCATGACAGTTTTGAGATGGGTCTATAGTTATTAAGATCAGCGGCATCACCTCCTTTGTGAAGTGGAGTTACATGTGCTGTTTCCCAGACTGGGAATTCTGCTTAATAAAATAGACAGATTAAAAATATATGTAATATGTTCTAAAAATAATCAGGGTCGCAAGCCTTAGAAAAAAGGGGTCCAAACTGTCCTCTTCTGTACTTTTTTTTAGTATTGATGGTATTAAGTGCTGATTTGGAATGGGCACTGATTTGTTATTGAGCAAATGAATTATCTTTCAGAATTTAGAGGAATTTGTAGTTGAGTTTGTAAACATCTGGAGGTAGAAATCTGCTTTAGCTTTTCTGATGTAAGAAGTACATTTATTCCTCAGCTGCCTGAAGGTAAGCCAATGGTGCTGTTGTACACATTCTGTATGTGCAGTTAGTCTGAGGTGGATAATAAATGATATGAAGGTACTCAAGGGGTAGAATACTGATATAGAAATCTACCAGATTATACAAGATATGGATATGAGATGTACAAGATGTTCAGTCTATGTGTGTAAGTACAGATTTGTTAGATTGGAGGTGCAGTAAGATCAGAGTGAATCTGATGAGATGTGGATGAGGTGTAGATTGTCCATGGAGATGATGACTCAGAGGTGCAGTCACAGGCCTATAGACTGATACACCAGCACTACTGGCTGTTCAGCAGCCTGATGGCCTGGGGGAAGAAACTCTCGGAGCCGGCTGGTTCTGGACTTTATGCTTTATGCTCAGCAGCTGTGAGAACAGACAGTGGCTTGGGTGGGTGGAGTCCTTTAGAACCCTCCTGGTCTTCCTCAGGCAGCGGCTGGTATATAAATCCAGGAGATTTGGGAGCTGGACCCCGGTGATGTGCTGCGCTGTCCACACCACCTTCTGCAGAGCTTTCCGCTCAATGGCAGTGCAGTTTCCATACCAGGTGGTGATGGAGCGGTTAGAATGCTCTCCACAGTGCATGTGTAGAATGTTCTGAGAATGTGGGGGTTCATGCCAAACCTCTTCAGCCGCCTGAGGTAGAAGAGGCACTGTTGTGCCTTCTTCACCACCCGGGGGTGTGTTTGCTCCATGTCAGTTCCTCTGAGATGTGAACACCAGGGAACTTGAAGCTGCTGACCCTCTCTACAGTGGCTTTGTTGATGGTGATGGGGGTGTGCACTCTCTCTTGCTTCCTGAAGTCCACTATGAGCTCCTTGGTCTTGTTGACATTGAGAGAGAGGTTGTTCTCCTGGCACCAGTGTCTCAGTAAGCTGACCTCCTCTCTGTAGGCCTCCTCGTTGTCATTGGAGATCAGGCCCACAATTGTGGTGTCATCTGCAAATTTGATGATGACATTGGAGCTGTGTCTGGCTGAGCAGTCGTGGGTGTACAGGGAGTACAAGAGAGGGAGCCCTGAGGAGCTCCGGTGTTAAGGGTCAGTGAAGAGGAGGTGATGTTGCCCATCCTTACCACCTGGCGTCGGCTCGTCAGTAAGTTCAGGATTTTTAAAAAGCATTTAAAAAGTCTTGATCATTAAAATGTTTAAAATTTCTTCTAACCACCATCCGAGAGCCTGACTTTGTGTTTGTGGTGTTTCTAATGCATCCAATAGGGCAGTGGTAACTAAAACCAGGGTCAAAGACACCTATAGAAGTAATTTTTTCAGGTCTGTTGGCTAAAATTAAGACTATTAGTGTTGACTTGCTGGGATCATGGAAGTTAGGTCGTGTTGGCTCTGTAATTAGTTGCGTTAGACATAGATTTCCACACACTTCCTTCAGGAGATCGGATGCATTAGTTAACCAGTTTAAGTTAAAATCATCTAGGATTAGCATCTCTGAGTTGATGTAGGGATTTAAAAGCTCAGCTAAGTCATCAACCGTGTGAGAGGGTGCGGAAGGAGGTCTATAGATCCCAGCTACCACGAAACTGTTATTGCGTCCTATGCACACTTTTAGAGCTAAGAGCTAACTCAAGCTAACTCAAAACATTTATCTTTGGATAATGTGAAGAGTTTTTACTTGAATAACAGATATGGTGTAAATAGCCACTCTGCCACCCCTTGTGTTCCTGTCAGCTCTATGTTTATTATAATCAGATAGAGATAGTTCTGAATTAGATACAGATTGTTTTAGCCAGGATTCTGTCAAAACCACAATATGAGGATCAGCTTGTACAATCAAAATTTTCAAATTATCCAACTTAACACTCAGCTGCTTATTAAAGCCCTGACGTTACGGCTAAACCGCTGCTAAGGCGGAGAGTGAAGGGGCTCTTAGCCATTTATGGCGAAGGTGGTGGGAGGAAATCTACCCAGCAACGAGTGACGCAAGTGAAATCGTGTTTTTCTATTGGCTGAGCCACAGCAGTGAACCATTATCTCGAGCTGAAGGTTTGTTTTGCTAACAGACCAGGCTGACGCGCAGGCGGCAGGACAGTCAGGAGCATCGACTTCTCTCAACAGAAGACCGTCCAGGGCGGATTTTCCTTCTGATCTAGGCGATAAAATGTGGTGATGGGGGCGGCTCCGGCAGTCTGTTTGGTCTTTCTGTGTGGAGTGTTTGTCTCTGCTCTCGGAGGTGAGTCAGTTCAGCTCGGACGGACTGTTTTGCTGCGCCATCATCGCCGAAACCGAAAGTAAAAATGCGTTATTACCAGCAGGACCGTTAACGGGACTAAACACGCAGAGTCAATTACGGTTAACGTTAAAATATGATATTAGGGGTTTTGAAAGGACACTCTTCGCTCATTTGTCCTGAATTTAGCTACCCAGCGTTTAAACTACACGCTCGGAAACGCGATACTGCAACTAACGTTATCTCAAGCCAGCAGCTATTAGGGGGTGGGTGGATCGATCCAAATATCGATACTATCAATAACAACGTTGGTATCGGATCGATACTAGCGTGATAGGATCGATACTTCTCTCCTCTGCGTTGCTCTCCTTTAATCAAAAATTAGACATGTCTGTGCATACACCGTTCCTTTCATATCTTGAATGCACACTTTGCTCCTCCTCCTCCCCAGCTCTGCTGTCCAGGGGCCGTATTACGGAAAATTCTTCAGTCTGACATCTGCTTTGTTGTCATGGTAACTTCAGTTAAGACTGAAGAAGAAGAAGAATTAAGTTAAGTTGATCATAATATATTGAAAACATATATGTAACATATATATTTTTATATATAACATATTATATAATTTGAAATCAACAGAATTCATTTCAGAACAACAAGTCTATAATCTTATTTCCAGATGAGAAAACTGTATTACAGAAACCCTAATATCCTAAGTTGCCAAAATATCCTAAATATTTTCCTAACTTTAAGATAAACCCCAGAGTCTTAACTTATAACCAGCTTTATAACTTTATAACCAGCATAACGACGCTACATTTATCTACACTGAAAACGCTGCTTTGACTTGGAGGAGTAACGTTAGCGCGCTCGGCTAAAGCGTTTGGAAAATGTAGACTGACACTGGGGAACGGCGACGCTCTGATAAACAGCAGGGGGCGCTCTCACAGTATTCTTAACCTTCACTTAACTTTTATCGTGCTGTAGTTTTATTTAACTTTTTTTTTTTTACACCAGTGGCTAACAGTAGCTAACATTAGCTGTCTGACTAACTAACTTGGTTACGTATTTACGTTTCAGTTGTGTGTGTATGGTTGGTTGCTAGGTAACAGACATGACAGTTGATTGTCAACTTCAGTCGAGTAAGTTAAGATTTCCTAACTTTAGATAAGAAAAGATGCTGTAAGATAAGATTAAAAATTAAAGTCAGATTTGCTTCTGTGTTACGAATTAGTGAAAAATCTTATCTTGACCTGTCAGATCTTAAGTTAAGACAAAAAGATAAGAATTTTCTGTAACACGGCCCCTGGTGTCGTGCTGTCACGTGACTCAGCGGCGCTAAAAGTGGACACACTTGTAGACAGCAGAGAGCAGAGCAGAAACAAAGAGGAGCGTTGTGTGGAGATATTTTATGGCTGTAAATAAAAACCTTCCAAACTGTGATGTGTGTAAGAAGAACTACAAAGTAGTAGCTATTCGCTACTGTGGCAACACCACCAATTTAGACAAACATATAAAAAAAACAAAAAAAAGAGTACTCTGAGCTGCAGAAGAAAACAGGAGAGAGGAGGAGGGAAATCCCTCAGTATTGAATGTAACAATAACTACTTTATATTCAATAACTATATTTTTTCCATCTTGAATTTCATAAAGATTTGAAATTGAAAAAAACATGAAAATCAGCTGCATTACATCCAAAGGTAAAATCCAAAGTTTGTGCATTATTACTGACACCGTCTGCACCAAACACTGTTTTTTTCACTGTTAAATGTAATGCAGCTAAAATGCTATTAAAATTCAAAAAGGAAAAAATAATGTAAAGTATTACATTTAAAATAAAGTTGTTTGGCATCATTCCCGCTTAGTTGCACCATTTGTAGTTGATTTAAGCATTGTATTTAATGTGGTTGAAATGCAGTTAAAAAAAAAAACTGTAAACTAGGTATTTGATTACATCCCTATATATTTTTAAGTGAATATAAGAGTTTAAATGAATATATAGTGTAATTAATTCCAAGACAACTGCAGATGTGCTATTATATTGTCAAGCTGTCTATTTGAATACAGCCTCTAACTTGACACACTGAGTGTTTGGTGGATTTATAAAACTTATAAAACTGTGAGTATCATCACCATACTAACTTTATATCAGTGTACAGGTAACATCACTGTTTACAAGTAAAGTATGCACTTTTATTAAAATAAGTATTGGCAAGTACATTTTTAGCTACTGGTTAATTAAATGTCCTTTTTTAAAATTGAAGTGATATGCAGTTCTCACCATAGGTCAAAGTAAACACAGTTAACCAGATGTGTATTGACACAGTGGTTGTAGAGCTTTTTTGTCTGATGAAATCTACCAAGGAAACAATAAAATATGTTTTTAAAGCACTGAAACAATTTGGAGGAAAATAAATGCATGTGCACAGATGTTGGTGTGGTCTAGAAATCCATGCATTTTATTCCCATTGAAAATCAGTTTTTTTGGTATTATCACAAAAAAAGGGGCTACATTAAATGTCACTCAAACTACAAAAGAAAAGGTGTGCATCAGTCTCTGTGGTCGTACTGTCATGAATATGTAAGTCTTTACTAGCTTCTATAGTTGGTTAAAATGTTATAAGGACTGAAAAGGCAAATATCAAAAATAAAACTTTTACTGTGGTAATTGAGCTTTATGTTTACATAATGTAATAGTTTATCCAGGCCACATAAGCTGTAGTTCATGTAATAATTAGCCTGTGAATTTCTATATATGTTCAAACCAGTTTGTTTTAGCCTAAAGTTTAAAACATGTTAGCCCAACACAAACTTATCACAAATCTATTGGAAACCCACATAAAATAACTGAAGTTTCATCACATCCGCTGAATGCCACTGGCTTGAACCTGCTGGAGTAAAACTGCTGGAGTGAAACTTTGGCTCTGCAGCTCTGCAGACAGATATTATTTAAAATTTTCGGGTCTGAGCCCCCATGAACGTCGCCAATGGTGACAGTGGCAAAAAGCTCCCCAAGAGCAAGATGAAGAAACCTTGAGGGGAGATAACTGAAAAGGGGAACCCATCCTCCTCAGGTCAACTCTGGGCAGCAAACAATAACAGCAGAGAATGAGGTTTGGCCATCAGTTAAAGCTGGGCGACATGGCCAAAAATGTTATCACGATAAACAAAACATTTTTGGTCCTGGGGGTTAATTGCTGTTTTAAACTATCCTTTATGGTCAGATCACGACAAACACTCACCAAACAGTGGAACATTTCACAGATCTGTCACGGGAGAGTGGGAGAGAGTGTCTGGTGAGCTGTTTTTACCAGCTGGAAAAGCACGGCTATTTTTGTAATAGTCATAATTTAAGAAAGAAAACAGACTATTTTGAGCTGGCACCGAGCGCTCACAGTATCACAGCATTACAGTATTCAGACACCAGCTAGCGACGACTGGATTTCTCTATTCAATTGTAGTAGTTTAAGGGGTGAACCTCAAAATATCAACACCAGACAGACAGAGTCCTCTTTTTAGGTGTGTTTAAACTGAAAGCGGTGCTTTTGTGTCGTGTATGATCTACAGTATCATCAATTCGCCGTGTTGTGTGAGTGACAGAGCGCTGCTTCAAGTAAGCCAGCTGCTAAAAACAGCTAGCCTGGAAAGATAACACTCTCCAATGCCTCACAGCTTTCTCAGTTTACTTTTGTTTAAATCAGGGCTGTAACGAACATGAACCACTTCTTTCTTTCACTTTCGTTGTTTGGGAATGCACTAATACTTAAATATGTCTGTCCGAGCGCTGCAACAGCACTTTAGCTGTGAGGATTGTGATTGTGATTTAACACTACTAAAGCTGGTTAGGATGTACAGAAAGAGGTGAGTTCACTGTGGGACAGTATAGTTACACCACTGACCTTGTCACCCACACACGGTCACAGGAGAGCAGATCACCAGTCGCTCCACTCAAACAGGGAATGTATAACTCCGCGTTTCAGCCGTTGCTAAAGACTCCTCTTACTCGTCGCCCCCTCCCTCTCTAAATCATGTTGAAAAACTCAGAAGTGCGCCCTCTCATGGCGACAGCAGAGTAGTGTCGCTTTCCTTGAAGTAGAAAACGCCACCAAGACTTTCTCTAGAACGTGGAAGTGTGAGAGTGGTGTATTATATAGAACATTTATCGAACATATCGTATCGCTCTATCGAGGAAAAGTTATATCACGATAATTATCGTCATCGTTTTGTCGCCCAGCCCTACCATCAGTATAAGAAACGAAAACGGAGAAAAGCAGGTGAAGCAATGTCTATGATTAAAAAATGCAGCAGCAGCATCAGAAGGGTCAGCTCAGCAGGTGAGGTTTGCACAGCATTGTACGGGAGGAAGCTCCATGGTGGACAAACTGGTGCAGAAGGCTAGTGAGCAGTGGGCACCCGATCAAGGCAGATAAGGCAACAGCATCAGACCCACAGGATGGGCAGATTTCAGCTTGGCAAAAAAGTATTTCAGCACATTCAGAGTTATACAGAGACTGACAGCATTTCAGCTCTGATTAATCACACCTAATTAAAGATTCACCACAGTACATATAAACTATAGGTAGGATATTTATAGACTAAATGACCTCATCAGAAAACACTACCGGTGTTAAAACTATAGGTAGGATATTTAGAGTCTAAATGACCTCATCAGAAAACATTAGTGATAGTGATGTTGTAGACTTTAAGAAATGAACTAGGGCTTACCGATTGTACACTTCGTAGTTTCTAAACAGCTTTCTCCAACAAATGTGGAATCTAAGCAACCCTGTTCTTATTTACTGTAATCAAGTCATTGTTTAATATCTAATCTTTTATTTCTCTGTTTCTCCACAGATGAACACTCTCTCTATTATCTCTACACTATCCAGTCTAAAAACTCTTCAGACAGAATCTATGAGTTCAGTGCAGTGACTCTGCTGGATGACAGACAGATTGACTCCTACAGCAGTACAGACGGGGTCAGGACTCCTAAACAGGACTGGATG